ATAGACATTGTTATCGCTGAGCAATCATGGTAATCATTAGGTAATCATGGTAATCGCTTGGTAATCGTGGTAATCTTTTGGTGATCATAGTAATCATTAGGTAATCCTGGTAATCCCGGTAATCTTAGTAATCCTGGTAATCAAGGTAATTTTGGTAATCACGAATCCTGTGTACGCTAAAAATTTGAGTGGGTAACCCCTTGGTGTGGTGCCCAAGGCCGCCAGGCGCGCGCCCAGGCTGTTGCTCCGATGTTCCGGCGAGCGGGCCTAATAGTGCCCTGGCTCGTCCCTCGGTGCGTCTCTCCGACCTTGACCCGACTGCGCTCTGTCTCTCTCGCACTCACGGGGCGCCTCGTGGAGGTGCGAAAGAAACAGAGCGACAGCAGGACAAGGGCAAACAAATGCGGTGCGTCCGGCGCGTCCAATGCTTGATTGGAAGGCGGTGTACTATGGGCAGTGTAGTGCCGCCAAGGACGCCGCCAAAACGAACAGCGGTGCTGGTCTCGAGTCAGTACAGTCACGTAAAGTCGCCCTCGTCCGCCCACAAGCCTTGCTGCCCCACTGTCTGTCGGTCAAGTCCAGCCCGAGGCCGCGGCAGACTGATTCCGAGAGTCTCTGTCTTCTCTTCGCATTCTTACCGGACGCCCCGCGAGTGCGAGAGAGACAGAGCGACGAAAACGACTCTCGGAATCAGTCTGCAGGGGCCGCACGGCTGCTCCGTGCCGCTCGGCGTAACTGCCCTGGCTGCAGGGCCGCAGTTGGCGGGGTTTGCTGCCCGGAGATGAGCCTCGCCACGCCTCGCCTCGCCACGCCACGCCACGCCACGCCACGCCACGCCTCGCTACCGCGCCGTGAGGTGAGGAGGACTGGCCAGTCGCGTAACTGTGTCAAGTGCCGGACGTACCACCGCGAGCAGGCCAACTCTTTGGTTACACCGTAAAAAGAACCAGCGCAGCGAACCGAGCCGAACATCATCCAGCGCCAGAGTCGCTAAGCAAGCAGGACTCGAAAGGAAGTGTGACCCCACCAATGGATTGCTCTCCGAACGAGGAATCCATTGGTGGGGTCACACGCCCGTTTCTAGTCCTGTTTAGCGACTCTGGAGCTCAAAACGCTTCTAAGAGTTTCGGCCGTCGGTGCCGGTCTCCTGGCCCACTGTGAACTGCTTTCCGTTCTCACTGATTGAGTTAGCCTGCCTTCCTGCTGGTGGTCGCTGGCCGACGCGACGCTCCGGGTGTGAAAAATGAAAAGAACAGTGTGGCGGCGTGTGTGGGGCGGGGCGGGGCGGCCTGAACAAGTATCAGCGGTAATTGCACCTCTTAGCGCCTCGATGATGGCTGTACAGTCGCGCAAGAGAAATCCAAAGTGATTTCTTCTTTGTCGAGGCGTTCTGTTGACACGTTCGTTTGTTTCGGTGCTGACGGGGAAGGGTTTCAGGCGCGGTTCCAGTGGGGTGGGGCAGTAGGGCACGAAGCCAACCTTTACACTGGTAAAACTAAAGCGTAGTATTACCCTCTGTTTCCAAGCGTAATCATTTCGCGCTTGAAATCAAGCGTAAAAGCTGGTTCATCCGCCAAGTTTCCCCCTTTCTAAATGCATGGGGAAACTTCTAGTCTATGCTTCTTTCCAAGCGTAACGTCTTCAACCGTAATTTCATGCTTGACTCAACCATAGAGTTACGCTTTAGTTTTACCAGTGTACAGGGAGCCGCCTGAAAGGTGGGCTAAAAGCAAGACTCTGCCGCTACGTATGGCAAAAGCTCTATTTTTCCCCTCCTTCAGGCTGGCTGTGGATCCTGGATCCGCCACTGTAGGTTTCCGTTTGTGGGTTGGTACTTTTAGCCGAGTGGCCCTGCACAGTGACGTCACCGCCTGGTTTGCATATCGACCCGCTGCAAGGGTTCTTCGGGTGGCGTGCCTCTCTCCGCGCCGCACCGCGGTTCGCGTCTCCAGCAGACTGATTCCGAGAGTCGCTTTCGTCGCTCTGTCTCTCTCGCACTCATGGGGCGTCCCGTATGGGTGCGAGAGAGACAGAGCGACGAAAACGACTCTCGGAATCAGTCGGCAGCGCCTCCACAACAGCAAGACAGTCGCTTTTTTTTCGTTTCGTTTGCGACCCCGAATAACAATCGTGACCGTCCCTTCGACTCTTCGGGATGATTGAAAAGGAACACAATGGCAAATGAATTGACAGTGACGTGACGCCACTTTGCATGTGTCACTTCTTTAAAAAAAATAGAAAGGAATCCGTTTCGGCGCCACCACACTGTAACTAGGGGTACGCGCCGTTTAGTCTGGGCGCGTAGTGTGGCTGAGCGGTGCGAATTGACATAAATTGTGCACTTTGGACTTTGCTTGAGTAGACGAAATGTCCATCTTAAGGGCTCATATTCAGTGAACTTTAGACCAGGGGTTCAAATGGAAGTGATTTTCGTTATCAGAACACCAAAAACTGCTGGGATCAGTGTCAAACTCCATTTAAAAATTTTGGTCCAAAATTGGTCAAAATTCGGTTAAATGTGAGTCTGGAAAAAGTTTGAAGGTCATTTTTGAGTTCAGCACACCAAAAACTGCAGGAAACAATATAAAACTCGACATGAAAATTTTGGTCCAAAATGACCTAATTTAGGATGAAAATATAAGTCTGGAGTCGAAATAAAAGTGACTTTCGTTATCAGCACACAAAAAACTGCTGGGATCAATGTCAAACTCGATTTAAAAATTTTGGTCCAAAATTGGTCAAAATTCGGTTCAATGTGAGTGTGGGAAAATTTTGGAAGTTATTTTTGAGTTCAGCACACCAAAAACTGCAGGAAACAATATAAAACTTGACTTGAAATTTTTGGTCCAAAATGACCTAATATTGGATGAAAATATGGGTCTGGTGTTAAAATGGGAGTGATTTTCGTTATCAGCACTCAAAAAACTGCAAGAATCACTGTACAATTAATTTTTAAAAATTTAACCAAAAATCGGTTAAATTTTGGGTCAGGGGACAATTTAGAGGTCAATATTGAGGTCAGTGCACTGAAAAATACAGGGAAACACATAAATCTCATCTTGAAAAGTTTGGCCCCAAATTGCGTAGCTCTAGATGAAAATGTAGGATTGGCGTTGAAATAAATGTAGTTTTTGTGACCGGTACACTGAAAATTACACACAATACTTTAGACTCAATTTCTGTTTATTGTTTCTATTTGTCTTCATGAAGCACCTTCTGTCGTCACCAATTCCCTGATGGCACAACAAAGCGAACCCCTCAGTCGAGTAAAAATCAATTGCCAGCATTCAATCGCTTTATTGGCTACTCGTATGCTTAGGTCACTATTCGATAACTATTTTTTCTTAACTTATGAACTCACAATTTTATAAGTAATATTTATGAAACATTTTTTCATTCTTTCATTGTGAACCAGTGAATAAAACAATATTGATTGGAATATGTTATCAGTTAATATTGAGAGAGTCAGTTTAGGGTAGGCTGATCTGAACCAGTTAGCGGGGACCAATTATTGTCAAATCCAGTGTTTCGTCACATAGAGACCAATGCCAAGGCTACCCAAGGCTTAATGAACCGACATAATTTATCTTACTCATGTAATCAATACTAAGTAGTATCAGTTATATTAACTTTGGTGAAGTTAAAGGAATCGTCTCATTAAATCCCATCACTAATCATATATATAGTTGGTTGTCTATGCACTAATTGACTCACCGCTCAAAACCTGAGTCGTCTCTTTGAACCCAATATTAATTCAAACTCTATTAGGATTAAATATACACAACCATGCATTGATTCTATTAATAAACACATGTTAGTGCTTTTGCTCTCTTGTCAGCTTGCAGCATTGCAAAAGAATGCATTTCTCGAGTCCAAACTAAGTATGCCTGCCAATTTCAACACAAGTTATTTATGCATTTCCCTGATTTCCTCTAGTTTGAAAATTTTAAAAAGAGGATGACACTACAATGAAATAAGAAGATGCACACAATACAAAAGGTCAAAATAAAAACATTCTTTTTACAATGCTTTGTCAAAGTGCACTGACCTAAAGATGATTCCCCACTGACAGTGGAGGGGGGAGAGGGGAACGAAACACGTAAATCATTCTCAAATCCATTCTCCATATTTCGCTGTGTTGGTGTTCCAAAAGGGTTTTAAACATTCTAGAATGTTGAAAAACTAAGGCCGATCTCATTTCCAAACCCTTCTGCTCTTTAATTCGTTTTATTTGCTTATTTGCTTATGTCCCGTATAGGGCCCGTGCAATGGCGTACCGTTATGTCACTGCCGGGTAAAGGACACGAAAACGTTCTCTCGCGAACTGAGTCTACAGCAGCCGATGCCAAGAAAATGGACTGAATCTCGCACACACTTTGCATCTCGAATAGATCAAAACCGTTTCTGGAATCCGAAAGTTTTTTTCTTTAACTCAATGTGCTCCAGATACATCCAGAGATAGTTTCTAAAACTACGCTTGACGGCAAGAACCGCGGCAGTTCAAACGGGGTTGGAGGCTGGGACCTTAACTTAACTCGATTTTTCGACCCTTTGAAGGAATCTTGTGATAAATAACCTCACGGAGTACTGCTTATGTGCTAAAGAACGAATCCTTAGCACTGATCTGGGAGAAAATGCTCAGGATATTTAAATATCTCCAGTTATAAGCTCCTGCTGGCGTCGTCTGCTGGTCTCAGTTCGTGAATTTGCCATACTTTCGTTCCGCCATATTTCGCGTATTGCACGGGCCCTATTTGAGACGGCTGTCTCCGTGAAGGAAGATGCCTGGCACATCTGCACACCCGAACCCGAGCGACCGCGCGACCCGAACCGCTTCGGCTCCGGGAAGCTTCGGGGTCTCCCCACCACTCAGAGCGTTTCCCGACCTAGTTCCAAAGCTATGCCACAGGTGGCGCCACTTGTTTCGAAATTCGGCGGGATTTCCCCCAAACACTTGTTCAGTCTGATGAAATCCACCGTGCGTGTCACTCGCGTTAACGATGGATGTCATCTGTCATGTGTGTGGCCTAAAATTACCCGGCATTCAGCTCAACCGACACCTGGAGAAATTTCATGGCTTTCAAAAACCATCCAATTCATTTGAGTGTTCGGAGTGTGCCGCCAATTTCTCAACTAAGTTCGTTCTCAAGAGGCATTTGAAGAACATTCACAATATTTGCCATGAGGAGGAGAAGAAGCAATTCAAGTGTGACAAGTAAGTAAGCCGATACGTATTTCATTTGTTGAAACTTCTTTATTTGATCCACAATGGATTGACAAAGAAGACTAAATTACGAATTGCTCTTCCAGGTGTGATTCTTCTTTTACTGAAAGAAAAAGTTTATATAGGCACTTGAGAACCAAACATGATCAGACAGAAATTGACATGGAGCAACAAGACAACAGTAAAAAACCGAGAAGCACCCAAGAAATTGGTTTTGAATGCTATGTGTGCGACAAAACCTTTGTTAGTGTGTCCACACTTAACAGACATAAAAAGCTGCAGCATGATCTTGTTTTAAATAATTCTGGCAAGTTCAAATGTCCTCAATGTTCTGATGAATTTGCGACAAAGGGGCAGTTGGACCACCATGTGGACAGTGCTCATCACATAGAACCAGAGTCTGAATTAATGTCGTTTCCCTCCCTTGAAGGTAATTATTATCATTATGATTATATTATTATTGGAAACATCAAATATCTGTAGTCCTGATGTAACTGTACTTTTGTTCTAGATTTCTTTAAATGGAAAAACCAAATGGAGATAGAAACAATGTCCCACTATGTGAAACATACTGGCTCCAAGCCAGTAAAGAATGGTCTCAGATCATATTACTTCTGTCATCGTTCCGGTTTTGAGAGATCAAAGGAAGAGGATGAGAAGCAAAGAATTAACTGGCAGTCCACAGTTAAAATGGGAGCCCACTGTACCTCTCAGATGACTATGACACAGTGTGGTGATCATGTTGAGGTGTCCTTCTCCAAAGTCCATGTAGGTCATGAAATTGGTGTCAAATACCTGCAGCTTACCAAGATCCAGAGAGAAGAACTGGCAGCCAGAATTGCGAGGAAGGAAAATTTAAATGAAATTCTTAATGATGTCCGAAAATCTGTAACAGAAGAAATTAACCAAGTGAGCAGGCTCCAAATGCTTGAACGAAAAGACCTGCTCAACATCATCAGGGACTTTCAGCTGGATGAAAGCAAGGCAGACCAGAATGACGCAATGAGTGTGCACATGTGGGTGGAGGAGCAGCTGAAAATAGGAGATGAAGGTGCAGTGATTTTTTACAAGCCACAACATCAATTGATTGAAGGCAGCACGCTCAAAAAAGAAGACTTCATGATTGTTATAATGACTCCATACCAACGTGAGGTTTTATCCACATTCACAGAGGACAAAATTTTAATTGACAGCACACATGGGACTACTGAATATGACTTTCAGCTCACGACTTTAATGACTGTGGATGAATATGGTGCTGGGTGCACTGTGGCATTCTGTATAAGTAATAGAATTGACGCTACAGCCATGATTGAATTCTTCACAAGTGTGCGCCAAAAGGTAGGAGTCATAAAAACTGACACCTTCATGTCAGATGATGCACCAGCCTACTACAATGCCTGGTTAGTGGTCATGGGCCCAAGCAAGAACAGGCTTTTGTGCACCTGGCATGTTGACAAAGCGTGGAAAACACAGGCACCCATTCAAGTACAGGCAAGCATTGAGAAAGCTGCTGAGGTGTACAAGGGATGTAGAGTGCTGCTGGAAGAACCTGATATAAACGAATTTGGACACCTTTTAGATGGTTTTATTAAAATGTGTGAAGAAGATCCTGACACACAGGCATTTGCGAAATACTTCAAGACCACCTACGCCCAGAGGCCTGAAATGTGGGCCCACTGTTACAGAATCCGACTAGGACTCAATACCAACATGTACTTGGAAGCAATGCACAGAAAGCTGAAGTACATATACCTTGACGGTCGCAAAAACAGAAGGATGGATAAATGCATATCAGCTTTACTGAAGTTTATTAGAGATTTAATGTTTGAGAGGATCATTCGTAAGAACAAAAACAAACCGACAAAGAGAATGCTATCCATCAGTGCCAGCCACAAACGCAGTAAAAAGATACCGGATACAAAAATTAGAGCTTTAGCAACAAACCAGTGGGAGGTAGAATCATCAGTTTCCACAAGAGGGCCGTATGTTGTCCAGAAACTTGACAAAACTTGCAGCTGTGCTCTTCGATGTCCTTTGTGCAAAGTCTGCGTGCACCAAGCCATATGTGACTGTCCCGACAACATGATAAGACTTAACATCTGTAAGCACATGCATGCGTGTATTAGAAAAGTCCCACTGGCAGAGATAGCAGATAATCATCAGGAGGAAGAACATATGCAAAGAGAAGAGACTGTACTCACACAATCTGTTGCTAATCTGGTCCCAGTGGGCTCATCAATTAGCGCCCGCACAGAACTTGACTGCCTAATTATGAAGGCCAACAACCTTGCTGACTTGATTGAGCCAGAGAACCAGAAGGAAGCAAGTGCTGGAGTTAGACGACTGATAACTTATTTTGAGAGTATTATCAAGAAACAGGATCCTTCCACAATTCCACAGAGATCAAGTACTGAACCTGCAAACAAAAAAATTATGACTCAAAGATTCAAATCAACTAAAAAGAAGAGACCAGTAAAGCGTGAAAGAAGATTTGCGAAACCAGGAGATGTTCAGAAGGAACTTTTAAGGTGCATGTTTATTGACAAGGATGTTCGTGAGGCTGATGTAGTGCAGGTGCAAAGTGTAGGGGATTTGGACCATACATACTAATCTTTACTGATTTCATCTATTGATCATTTTATTTTGAATGTATTAAGCTTCTAGTGACAAAATATTTTATATTAATTTTAGTATAGTGATTGAATTAACGATATATTTTATATTGATATTCCTGTGATAAGAAACTGCATTTCTGTGACATTTCTGTGATAAATAGTAGTCATTACTATTAGTAAACAGTGATTACCATTAGTAAACAATCAAGTCAGGTTAGAAAGAACATTGAATCAATACACTTGCATTATGACAGTTTGTAATTAATATTCCTGTGATGACTAAGTGTGCAAGTTCAAGAAGTAATTGTAGGCTAGGAACGCCATTAAATCATTCAGCAATAATTGATAAATAATGTCTCTTACCTTTTTCACCTCAACACCTTCATATTATCATATGTTTTGCGAAGAAGCTGTTTCTCATCGGTAGAAAGCCTCATCGCGCTAGCGCTCGTAGCGCTAATAAAAAGGACATAAAAATACTCCCAATATTATCTATAAATCTAACCAAACGAACAAACAAATGCACTATTGCAATTGCAATGTGAAGTGTGAATGTGCCGGCATCTGCGCCGCTTCTGCCGCGCCGACCCGATCCCCGAGCCGAGCACCCCGAACCACCCGAACCGATGTGCAAATGTGCCAGGCATGTTCCTGCATTGAGACGCTGCACTATTTGAGAGCCGCGGACCCGCAGGTATGAGAAATTGGTAAGCGGCGCCGCGCTGCCAACCTAACCACGCTAATGACCTGATTCAAAAATATGTTTTGAATATTTCAAGCGATACTAAACAACGATTTGAAACAAACTCGTGTTGGGGGGTGCTAAGGCGACGTTAAATACGAAATCTTGAAACTATAGCCACTGTAGTTGCTGAGAATCGTTGGTGAGTACAAACAGAGTCACAGACAGACGCACGACCAGTCACTTTTTCGTGCGCCCAAACACGGCAAGGGCTTCGCTATCGCTCAGCCAAATATGTTACTTGTTACTTGGAAGAATCGGGGTCAAGTCAAGATGATTTTCCTTACAAAAATTTTAAAATTAGTTGATGCCAGCTTGTCACGCCACGCCCATCCAAATGAGTACAGGGAGCTTCGAAGGAAACATTAGCAATTTGTGATGATTTTGTCATAATCCTAAAGTGATGAATTCACCCGCCTCGATTTTGTAACAATGTGACAACAAAGTTTTTGCAGTGCAACGATGAATGAATAAAAAGTTCCGCCAAGGCAAGCTTAGCAAAGCGGTCTTGCCGTGGCCCGGCAGGCGAGGCCGGGCAGAGAGGGGGCAAGGAGGGAGGGGGTGGCTGTGAGGAGTGGGGACTGGCGCGGCGGCGCGGCGTGGCGGCGCAGGACGACGACGGACGACGGACGACGGAACCAACACGACCATGCAGTCCCCTCCGAGCGCGCTTAATAGATGGATGGATGGGATGGGATGAGTGGGATCGGATGCAGAGCTAGAAGCGGTAGCAAGACCGCTTAAAAAGTCATTTTCGTTCGGTTGGCAACACGACCTTTTCCAGCCGCCGTCCGATCGTTTGGTGACGCCTCTCGGTGACGCGGAGACGTTTTTTCTTTCTCTCTCTCTCTCTCTCTCTCTCTCTCTCTCTCTCTCCCCCCCCTCCCTCCCTCTTTATTTCTGTCCCTCTCTGCCATCGGCGTTTCAGTCGTGAGACGTAACCCGCCAATTTGTGCATGTGACTCGTTGGAGTCGTGCGGATCGACGCCCAAAGCGTTCGTAAGGTCTTAGTTGTTGTTGTTGTTGTCGGCGCTTGCTGATGTTGTTGTTGTTCTTGGTGGTGGTGCAGTCTCTCCGCTGCGACTTGGCATTCTGGGCGTTGCACCACGCTACGTCGTAGAGAGTCGCTTCGCTGTGCTTTGGGAAACACCCCTCCCCTCCTGCTGTTATTGACGTCAATTATTTGACATTTGAAAGAAGAGAATGCCTCGTCGACTGGCCAACTCGTCGCACAGTGGGTCAGAAGGCCGGCGGCGGAGGCGGCCGAAACTCTAGACGCGTTTTGAGCTCCAGAGTCGCTAAATGGGACTCGAACCGAACGTGTGACCCCACCATTGGATTCCTCGTTCGGAGACCAATCCATTGGTGGGGTCACACGTTCGGTTCGAGTCCCATTGAGCGACTCTGGAGCTCAAAACGCGTCTAGAGTTTTGGCCGCCGCCACCGGTCTTCTGGCCCACTGTGAGCCGTACGTCTTGCGCACGATCAAGATGTCACATTGTTGTTGTTTGTTGTTGTTGTTATCGCCCGCTTTTTATTTGCCGTGCGGCATGCAAGCCGCGAGAAAATGGCAGTTTATTCCTGCCTTTGTGTGCGGACGGGGCGCGCGCGCGGTCTAGCACCGGCCTATTGTGTGACCGACCGTTGTTGTTGTTGTTGTTGATGTTGCGAAACTGGTGTACTACCACCACTATGGCGTTTTCGGCGGCCGAGCTCATATTTTGTTCTCGCGTTTGTGTTGCAGGTTGGTAACACTGTAACGTGCCATTTTGTGGTGGAGCTGCGCTGCGCTGTGCCGCCGGGAGCGGGTTTGGTGAGTGTGTGTGTGTGTTTTTCATCGGCACCATCGACGTGCTTCCCTCTGTATGCTTGCTGTGTGTGTGTGTGTGTGTGTGTGTGTGTGTGTGTGTGTGTGTGTGTGCGTGTGTGTTTTAGGAGTAGCAAAAGGCAGTGGGGTATACACGCGCCTCGCATAACGTAACGAGATAAGAAATGGCAGAGACGGCGGCGGTGTCTCTTTTATTGTGTCCTCACGTCTGTGTGAATGTGTGCGCATGTGTGCGTGCGTTCACAAAATCACAGACGCGCGTAACCGCCCGGCAGCTGAGCGTCTGACACACAAAAAAAGGCGCAGCGAAAGTGACACGGATTTCGCGGGGCTCCGCCGGTGCTCCGCGGTGTGCCGCGATGCCTCCCCGGATGATAAGGACGATGGCTATCTGGCGGCCGCCGCCATTTTCGCCGTCTGCTTTGGGGCAGACTGATTCCGAGAGTCTCGCTCTGTCCTCCTCGCACCCGTGGGCCGCCCCGTGTGGGTGCGAGAGAGACGGAGCGACGAAAACGGGGGATCAGTCTGCGAGGCCCCGCTCGGCTTCTGGAGCGGCCGCGGCCCGTCTGCCGATTTGGGACTTTGATAAATGCCGGTGGCCGCCGCCACACCCGGCCACCGGGTCAGCAGTGCCTTGGCTGGCTGGCTTTCTGGCTGGCTGGCTGGCTGGCTGGGGCGCTCAAGGCGAGGCGGCGCGGCACGGCGCTGCCGCAGGGAATCGATGCCGCGGGGACGGCGCGCACTGACACGGGAAGTGCCCCGTACAGCCGGGAGATCCCCTCTACATCTGCAAGGGGGAGAGAGAGAGAGAGAGAGAGAGAGAGAGAGAGAGAGAGAGAGAGAGAGAGAGAGAGAGAGAGAGAGAGAGAGAGAGAGAGAGAGAGAAAGAAAGCACTGATAATCCAAGTGTGGGACAGGCATGCACTGGATAACGTGGCACAAACTGTCCCACGTTTGTAAGCGTGGGACAAACCGTGTTACACGCTTAGAAGCGTGGGACAAACCGTGTCCCACACTTACAAGCGTGGGACAAATCCGTGTCCCACACTTACAAGCGTGGGACAAACGGTGTCCCACGTTTGTAAGCGTGGGACAAATCCGCGAACCACGCTTGCAAGCGTGGGACATTTTGTCCCACGTTATCTAGTGCATGCCTGTCCCACACTTGGATTTTCAGTGAGAGAGAGAGAGAGAGCACCGACTCTTGCCGTATTGTCGTGTTGTCGCGTGTCCGAATCAGCGGAACAAATCTGTGGGTTAATTCGCCACCAGCTGCGGTAGTACATACTTCAAACTTGAAGAAAAACATCTTCCAGGAACGTGGAAGCTACCAAACCTTATTTAGACTCCAAATTTTCAGAAAATATCTTCAAAAAAATTCTTGCAACATCTCATGTTTTTAAAAAATAATTTGCATAATAAAATTGTGACGACTTATAAGTCGTCGAAATTCTCAGGGGTGACTTTCACGCAGACTCCAGAATTTTGGGCGCAGACTCTAAAATTATGAGCACGAAACCGAAAATTTTGAACACTGATTGGAAAATGATGAACAGTGAACAGTGTCACGAAAATTATGAACACAGTCACTCGAAAATTATGATCTTATGAGCTCAGGCTCCAAAATTATCAACGTGAAATTCTGCGAAACTGCATTAGAGTCCAAGAAAGTCTTTACATCCCTAACCCACTTCACTTCCCTTCGCCATCCGCGTCCGTCCGGGGGAGGCCGCCGAAGACGCCGTCCGCGGTGCGCGAAGGCAGCGCGAAGGCGCGGCGTGCGACCGCTAACGACACTGTAATGAGGATTGAATGAGGGATTGGACGAGGACGCGAAATCGAAGGCGGCGGTCTGCATGTAGTGATTCCGAAAGGGTCCTCGCTCTGTCTCTGTCGCACTCATTGGGTCTCTCCTAGGGGAGCGAGAGAGACAGAACGACGAGGGCGATCCTTCGGCAGCGGGCGGCAAGCCTAGCGCAGCCTGGTGCAGCCTTGCAGTGGATCTGATACAGGGCGAAAGCCGGCGCTGCATATGTGATACCGGCGCCACGCCCTCGCCGCCAATGCTTCGCAGCGGCCTTGTTGCCTGCACTGGCAAAGTGTCCAGCCTGCGGTGCGGGGAGGAAGGGAAAGGAAACGCAGTGCGGGATGATGGGAACTGCTCATGCCGGAGGTATGTCGCGACGACTGATGTTGTTGTTGTTTTTTGTCGTTGTTGTCGTCTTTGTTGTCTCGAGCCGAATCTTCCTTATGACCTTTATGCCCGCGGCTGTGCTACGGCGCTCCTGACTGTACACTGATTCCGCGAGAGTCATCCTCGTCGCTCTGTCTCCCTCGCACCAAAGCGGGACGCCCCCTGAGTGCGAGAGAGACAGAGCGACCGGACGGAGACGGGTATCGGAATCTGGCTGAGGAGTCGCCAGCC